TGCATCTAAATGCTTTTCTGAATGTTGGGCCTTTACAGTCTAACCCTATGAGCACAGAACGGCTGAACGTTGGTGCACTATCGTCAACAACCGAGTCTGTTTTAACGCACATCGGCTTTTTATTGTTTTATTTATTAGCATTCACAGCTCAACCAGTACAGCATGAATATATAAATGTACCCTTACTGTAAAAGAACAATAGTTCACTATTTGACAAGACAAGACCCGACGTTTCATTGAACACATAATAACCACTTATTGATGTTAGATTATTTATTAGCTGCTACTGAGAGATTATTAAAGGCAGCGTCATTTGGTCACTTTATGGCAAACGTAAGTGCGTAATGTCCTTTTCATTTAATTATTTATTAATGCTTTATTAAGGGTTTCAGATTTTTTTTATCTGCATCATTACATTTTAATTTGTGTTTTATGAAGTTTACCTTATTGTAAAGGAGTTCTGATAAATATACACTCATCATTTGGCATTAAAGGAATCCATATGATCCTTATTTACACGTTGCACGTTACAGCTTGTCAGTAATTTATTGTGTTCACAAATTAATTACTAACTGCAGCACTGGCTTTTATTATGTTTCCCCATTTTATAGAGTAATATTAAAAAGGTTGACACTGCAGGGTTATTCAACTGGTGGCCCAGTGGCTGAATCAGGCCCACAGGTGAGCTCAGTTCGGCCCACCACTGGGTTCAGTTTGAAATAAAACTAGATTTTAAATCATAAAACTTAATGACAACAACTGCTGGATGTCTGTCCCCTGAGCAGTTTAGATGAGCAGTCCTGCGAGGTGTGAATGAATGACTGAGGGGGATGCTACAGGTACAGTCAAACTGTAAAATAACCCCATCAATACTTTATTATATGACTAATTAATACCATACAATCGGTAAATAACTCTGAGATTGAACTGGCATGGCCACAAGTAGTTAATGATCTTATTATTAGTAATAATAATGATGTATTTACTGTATTTAGTGTAGAAAGTGCAACATTTTTCTGTCAGGTCGTCTGGACAGTTTCTTTTTTTGTGCTGAAACGTTTCGCCTTCGATCCGGAAGTTGTGTGTTTCCTTGACTGATGAAGCCTTCTGGATCGAAAGTGAAATGTTTCAGCACAAAAAAAAAAAAAAAGAAGAAAGTGTCCAGATGACCTGACTGAAAAATGTTGGATTGTATACCTGGATTATTGAGCCTGGACTTTGTTGTTAGTGTAGAAAGGGTTTGAATGAGCTCATGGATTAATGGTGTCACGACTCAGCCATGAAAGTATGATTGTGAAAATGTTGCAGAGTGTTAGTCTTCTATAAATTAAAGACAACAATCATATTTAAGTTCTGACGTCGGTGCCAGCCTCATCGCACACAGGCCTGATGTAATGTGATTCTGAAACGCAGGTATGCGCTCCGTGTAAACAAAGCACTACAACAACGGATTTAACTTTATTTATTTAATTTAAGGGTTCATTAACCCTTGATATGAGTAATAATTGTGTGGATATCGTCTCCTATTTTAAGATGTTATAATTGATCATTCTTTATGACTTTGTAACGAGCACCTTTAAAGCACATTAACTGCTTATTGAAGGTTTATTAAGTGTTTACAGCTTTTAAACTCTGTATAATTATGAGGTTACGGAGTGGTTCCAACTTTGTTTATAGTGATGTAATGATTTCTGAGCTGAATGTTCATTTGGTGCCATCTGAGTGGCCTGCTGAAAGGTCAAAGGTCACGGTTCCTCCTGCGTGACGCTGCAGTTTATTTGCAGACACACGTGATGAACCTTCTGCGGCCTCAGAGCTCCGCTCGTTGTCGTTTATAAACCGTACCAGCACACGGCTTATTAAAGAATCTCTACAGGTCAGCTATTGTTTCATGGGGGGGGGGGGGGTCATTAAGATAGGAATCAGCAGGCAGGGAAAACATCACGTAGATCTGGAGACTTGGAGATTCACCAGAGGACAAGATCAGAACATAAACAGAACCCAAATAGGCCCAGAGGAGCTCCGAATAGGACTTTTCCTTCTCCCAAGAAAAAAATAAAAAATATGGAGGAGAAAGAAAAAAAAACTTGTGCAGTTTTGAACAATTGCCGGATTTTCTCCGAATCAAATCTCTGCATATTTTCCTGTTTGGGGCAGCTGTGCACCAAACAGTGGTGACCCCCCACTCTGCTGCTCGGTGGCCCCGGGGTGACGCGCGCCGCGCCGAGCTGCTCAGAGTGAGGCCTCCAGGAGGCCTGGAGCATGCAGGGGCCGCTGTGTGTGTGTGTGGGGGGGGGGGGGGGGGGTGACCTCATTCGTCTTGATTCCAATCTGTCATGTGTGAGAGCCCAACAAAGGACACAATCACGGTTATTCAGAGAGCGCGCTGCGGAAAGGACGTGCACAAACAAAGCGGCCGCGCGCACAAACCTCTTCACCTTTCAGAGAAATCATGGAGGACTGAGTGAAATATATTCACCTGGGGGGGGGGGGGGGGGGGCTGTCAACATGATGGTGTCAGTCCCTGCTGGGCCACTAACCCACAACGTGCACGCGACAAAATGTCACTTTATGAATAAATAACGTTTGAAAACATCCATCCATGTTCTGTGTCTGAGCTCATGGTGGCTAATGTCACTGATGGATTATTTTATTTAAAATAATAATAATAATAATATCTGATAATCTCTTCGGTTTTTATAATTAAATAAAAGTCAAGTGAAAGTGATTTTAATAAAATATGATGGTCCATCATGAAGAGCAAGGTACTCTCAGGCTGTGTGTGTGTGCACGTGTGTCACATCTGAGCTGCCTCCACTCGCGCGCTGCTCAGAGAATTTAAGGCCTTAAAATATAAAATAAATAAATTTCACGTGTCAACAAACAGGCTGAAAGCAGAGAGAGCATCTATTTTATTTTATGTGTTTATTGTAAAATAATTACATCTCACCAATTAATGGCACAAATAATCTCCAAACTCTGCGGATTACAGAGATTTTAGGATTATTTCTTCTGTTTGTTGATTTCTGAGTTTGCAGTTTTCCCGCCTTCCAAACGCGCGCGCTTGTTTCTGGGTTGTTTACAAAAACATGCGCGTGAGGAGGGACACAGGCCAGGGATGATTTATTTATTTATTTACTAATAAACACGAACCAGGAGCCTCTCTGAAGTTTTTCCGAGAACTTCAGAAATATTTTTGTTTGTTTGTTTGTTTGTTTTTTCAGAACCTGAAGAAGCTTAGGTCAGAACCCCAGAAAAAAATCACGTGTTTCATGTTTACGGTTTGAGGGAGGAGCATTTGTAAACAAAAACTAACAAGATCAAACTTTTATTTGTTTATTTTTCTTCATGTTTTTATTTTACATGTTTATCTAAACAACATGTTTAGATGTTTGTGACAAACGAAGCGCGTGTACCTCGGTCCAGTGATGCTCAAAACGTCACGCGTGCGTGTGTGTGATTGGGGGGGGGAATCAATGTTTGATCGCTGCAGAGGTGAGCGCGCGCACCGTCCTCG